GACCATCAAAAGATGATTAATTTGATATATTATATATGTAAAACTGATAAGAAATACAAAAGTTATCAACTTTTAAAATACATTTACAATTCAATAGCTAATTGAAGTAAGCAAATCAAAAGTCAGAGATATATTAGTCACTTAGTGCCTCACTATGTAAAATTACAAAGAATTAAAGGGTTATATTAGTACAAGAGATATTAAAATACCTAAGTTAGCTAAATAATATTTATGTAATGTCTGAATCTAGATTATTAATTATTAGTATATCAATATTATTTGTCCAAACCTAATTACGAAGCATGATTCTTCGCCAAGTAGAATTCCAAAGCAACAGAAGCAGCCAAGTAGGCTCATTGCATTCGGGAATTATATATAGGGAGGATGTTATATATAGATACAAATCTCTCTATCTTTTTATGTGTGTGTGTGTGTGTGTGTGTATATATATATATATATATATATAAATGTATATATTTGTAACGCCCCGTATTTTATTAATAAAGGAAATACTAGCTTTCAGTTTTAAGCTAGCCTTTATTAATAAATAACCATGTTCATGTTCAAGTTCAGATTGACCAGTCAGTCATATCCAATGTTCGACTATTAGTCGATAAGTTATTCGGTTTACTTATTTTAGTAACCGAATAAGTTTCCAGATTTAATTCCGATTCATTTAGTTAATTAATGAGTCCGGAATTAATTATTCAGTCAACGATATCCCGTCATGTTAATCATGTTTTTAGTTCCGATATAATAATGTTATCGATTATTATTTTCGGAATTAATTACTTTCAGTCGAAGTTATCCAAAATTATTTTCGACGGCCCGTTTACGTTCGAAATAATTTTGGTAATTAAGCATTATGTTTAATTAAATAATTAAACATAATTTAGTGATTAATTAGAAATTAATCACAACCTAATGTTCAAGCCGTGAGTATAGGAGAAATTGTCCAAATTATGTCCTAAAAGCCATATGTAAAATTCTTTTAAGCTAAGCAAATAGCATGATCAACTTCTTTCATGAAAAGGAAATATTTTCCTTCCTTTCAAGCAATCATACGTGGCATTAGGAGGAGAAATTGGGGATGATTAATCACCTAAGATTAAGCTAAGGAGTGCAAGTGGAAGAACATCCTTAAGCCATGCCTACACTACATCATCTCCAAATAAATTACCCTTCTCTCGGTTAGTATAAATAGGGTGAATTGGGATGATTTTTCCCACTTTCTTAAGCTTATATATCAGCATATATATCTTAGTCCTTCTATATTAAATAAGAGTGTTAGTGATATTGGAAGAGAGTTAAGATATATTGCACAAGAGGAAGCCCACACATACGCACGGTGCTGCCGAGGCCAAGCCATTTAGCAAGATATCGTGCCTTTTGATTCGGGGTTCAAGGAGGTAATGTCCTCATCATCTTCTATCCATGTTTATATAGTCATTTTAACCTCATCATGTTCAATTCATGTCATGAGGATCATGGGAGGTCCAAGAAATGTGCGGTTAGGCCATGTTAGGCCGAGACCGCGTGATATTTGTTTTTATCCGACAACTCCCTATCAGTTTGTATTCAGTTGATCATTATATTTCATTATATATTCAGTTAAGTATCATGTGTCGAGAGATTTTCAAGTTGAGTCGGTCGAGTGACGGCCTATAGCCGTCAGCGGCGCACGGGCGCACGCCATCGACCATGTTAGGTCATTGGACAAAAGTCATGATTTTATGTAAATTCGATCCTTTTGATGTGTTATGATTTGTCATGTTGAATTAAAAGGGAGTTGTCGGAGGGTGTAGCCGGACGGCCGATAAGGATCGGCCAAGGTCGCCATGCCCGCACACAGCGGGTAGTGCACGCCGGCAGCCCAGCCGTGTCCGCGGGCAACGTGCGTGGACAGAGGTCACGCACAGTCAGCTGCAGTGGCAGCAAGTAGCGCACAATAGTATGCAGCAGCACACGCCAGTGCGCAAGTCGCCCGCCAGTGGCCGTGGCAGTGCCCAACAGCCTGCCGAGTGGCCAACGTCGCGGGAGTCGCACGACAGCGTCCGCGCGACGTTCTGTCAAGTCCAATCAGCACGGCAAGTGTCGCGTGATAGCACCTGCGCAGTGCCAGTCGCAGGGCCAATCGCCCAGCACCGCCCAAAGTCGAGCGGCAGCACCGTGCGACACTTGTTCATGTCAGGCGTGCTTATGCGTATGTCCGTTCACCCAGTTACTCGCTGCGGCATTCGGTAGTGCCCGGCAGCGTTCAGTGATGTTTAGCGCCAACGCACATAGCGTCTGGCAGCGCCAAGGTTCAGTCACGTGCGTCCAGTAGTGGCCAAGGGGCCTAACTCACGTTTGCCGTGGCCAGGTGCACATAGCACCTTAGCCATGGCCAGGGCAGGCCCGATAGCGGCCGTGCCCACGCCCAGTTCAGCATGCAGTCGCACCACGGTCA